ATTTTAAGGTGGTAAGTAATGTTCCATTTTGGAAGCAAAATGGGTGGTCACAAGTTCCTTAAATTTGGATAAGTCAGTCCAGTCGATCGCAGGCACTAAATTAAGGTCTCCGACAAAAATAATTTGGCTGTATTCCGCGGGTGCACATTGAAGTGTAGAGTTCAATTTATCTAGGACATCCCGGTACGCTCACGGTAATGAACGTCCGTACAGTAATTTTCGTACAGCAGAACGAATCTTTTTTTGACCATACTGATTTGCATGTTTTAAAAATGGAATTAGCTTTATTTGATGAATTGCATTAATTATTGCAATTGTGGTGAAACTGATAGCCACGCTACAATGACACAATATTGATGGTTTTCACGGCGGCCATGTTGGAGGAACTTAACAAAAGAATCGCCAATGAATTATTTTGTTATATCCTCCAACATGGCCGCCGTGTCTTTTGTTTTTTAATTCTCTTGGGAATGGTTGGAAACCATCAATAGGTATCTGAAACGAAATAACTTCTTTTTCGTACATTTTTGATGTGAAAGTTTCTATTCATATTTGTTTTCATGTACAGATATTTTGAAAATAAACTTTTTAGCATAAATGAGAATAGCAATGGGCATGTCGTGATGATAGATACTGCTGGCCACACTGACTGCAAATTCGTTTCTTAAAATTATCCTTTTCGTTTGAGATTTGAATGCCTGAATTTTTTATTGTTCATAAATGATACTTACTTTATTCAGACTGAAAATTTAGTCGTTAAGGTTAAGTGGTATTGTAAATTCCAGCTGCCAGATTTTAAAAATGTCAATTTGTAATAAATAAAATGAAACAAACTGTCGGTATTAGCTAGACTTTTTTTGCCCATGGTTGCTAATGTAAGAATTATGTCTGGGCTGGTAAAATACTTTGCTTTTGTTCATGTAAATACTGGCGCCGCATTCCAACAGGTCACCGGATGTTCGTGCTTGTTAAATCAAATTGTCAACTACTCTTTCAATTTAGTGCAGCTGACCTAAGTAGTATGAAGTCGAAGTCGGATGGAAAAACTATTGAGCTCTCACGGATATTACTAAGACATTTCATGCATTCGGGGAAGACATTCTGGTGTCCTTCAGTCGTCAAGCAGTCGGGTCAAGCTCGGAAAAAGACATTTTCAGTAAACATCACGCACAACAGTATTTTTGATTTTGAAATTCTTACTGAAACTTGGACGCACGGTGCATCATTACGCGCATTGCTGCAGGCAATCGATCCGAGTCACAGAATACAATTTGTGATCCTATACTTCAGCAACAATTGCCTGCGATATAGCGCGCAATGCACGCTATTAGTCGAATACAACTAGTGGTTTATCATCAATGCTGCATTCTGATTGGCTATAAGTCATATTATACTAGTAGCGAAAAGTGCCGGCTTTGAAAACCAAAACATTAAATTGAACTTTAATTCAAAACTTGTTTGCATCCGATACTGATATTTGACCGACTTGTTGTCATAGTCATAGCCCATTTGGCCTCGAGGACTAATTGCTAATTAGCCTTTCAGTCATACTGGAACCAAACTAATATGATTACATTACATACTTATTTACACCATACATACATATATGATTGAAGAAATAGACAAAAGTTGCGCACGTGCTCTGTGCACTTATAAAGCACGCGGGGGTTGGCAGAACACAAGAGAATTGTTAGGAGAAGCATGACGTGTAGCGGAATGCTTCTTTACGCTTCTCGAGTGCTCTGCCAATCCCAAGTGTTTTATAGCTCCACACAGCACAGCAAGCAAGATTTTTATTTATTTCATAAAATATGAATTACAATAACCCTTATTTTAGATAGGAATGACGCAACTAAAAGTGCGCAGGCGTGCTGAGTGCTCGATCTCATAAAGCACGCGCTCTCAACCAATCAGAACACTTGATTTATAACAGTCATTTTATAAAGACATATTCGGTAGGAATAAATAAAAGAAAAAGATTCAAAAAGTAATATGATACACATTATAATACCAAATAAGATTTATGTATGTCAAATACATCCATATTTTTATAATATTCAGCTAGGAAAAGGAGTGAAAATATAACCACAGTGAATATCATTCTCGGCATATCTGCTTTCTTCCTTCAGAAAGGCTGTTGAAGGTTTAGCATATTCCATTGCATGCCACACTTCAGGAGATGTAGATGTTTGGTACCAATGTAAATCTACTGCGCTCTAATTGGATGACTTCTCGTAGACGAACCAATGAGCGATGTGATTCACTCGAACCACTGTGACGTCATTACCCATGCCACTCACCAGTGATTTGTTGCTATGGCAAACCAGGAATCAATACTGAGAGGACGCATTGCCCATTTATTATAATCATCTGACGAATGGTTTTCCCGATATGTATTTTATAATATATGCAATATTTTTATATCTTATTATAGTATATATTTTATATATTTATTGCAATTGTAATTAGTTTATTAATATATATATAAATATCATTTTTGTTACTATTATTATTATCATTATTATTATTATTATTATCTGAATGGACGAGCCTCAACAGCTTGTCTTGGGTGACTTCATATTTTGACGTCATATCTTTGGTGATGACGCCATATTTCAGTTCATATTTTTGGTGATGACGTCATATTTTAGTTCAGATCTTTGGTGATGACGTCATATTTAAATATCTTGTCTTTGGTGACGTCAAATTTTGATGTCATATCTTTGATGATGACGTCATATTTCAGTTCATATATTTAATGATGACGTCATATTTCAGTAGCTTCTCTTGGGTGATTTTTCTTTCTCGCTCTTCTTCAAGATTCCACCCTGTTTCTTTTCCTTTTTTTCCTTATCCTGAAAATTGCGAAATTCGGTCACAGGTGATTCATTTTATGTAGATTAAACTATTATTACCACGAAGGCATTTTCGTACTCGAGTAAATTGTGCATTAATATGAAAAGGTACGTCAAGATCATGGTACGAAATTCATGACATCCAAGTTGAACTACAGCTTGCGAAATGTTTTGTCATCCAACTACGACAATACTCACGACGTTAAAGACTCATCCTCGTAAATTATCAAATGACACAAGAAAAATGTCCTTTAATGAATCACTTACACATATTACCTAACAACTTATCAGCCAATCAGAAATAAGAGTACTGTTACGGTTCTGTGACGTGATGTGTCGTTCGTTCTAAGTTAGCATGTCGGAGAACCTCTATTTGCATGTGATGGGGAGTTCAGGAATCGAAAACACGACCCCAGATCAGGTGACATGCGAGTGTTCTACCGTTATACTTTCCTCAATTAAGAACAAAATACGATAAACTCACGCTTTTCTCGTTGTTGTTAGAGAATAGCCAGTCCTTGAACCTTGAAGACGATGCCCTGTTGCTGTCGTCTTTCTTGTTCTCTTTCGACTCATCAGTGGTATCTTTCTCGTCATTGACTGACGTAGAGCTTGTGCTGAGCACATGGTAGTTATAATCAATGCCTCGTCGGGATTTTTCTTCTTCTACTTTGAGTCGCTCGTAGTGTTCATATGCCTCTCGTAGAGCAGTCAACATTGGCTCTTCAATCTGAGGGAAAAGCTGATAGACAGAAGTTATGGCTCATGCGCATGGGCGAAACATTTCTAAATAACATGCAATGTTCGAAGCACGTGTGTATTGTCAAGCGTCACCGGTAGACAAAGAGAAAATACTCAAGGGAATGACGAATGTCTGAAATCAATGGAAAATACTCACTTTGCTTAATGACTCAAATAATGGTACAAGTACGAACTTGATGAAACCGATCTGAGCCGTTGCCTTAGTAACCTTGTCACGGTCCATGAAGGGCGCCACTGGAAGTCCTTCTCCTTTTTCGCGGTCACTCTAGTAATAGAAAGTAAAAACTTTCATTTTCATCATAAATCATCATATCATCAGTATTCATCATTATCATCATATTTAATAATCTCATCATGCATGCATCATCGCCATCAACTCTCATCACCACCACCATCATCATCATCATTATCATCAACTATCACCATCATCATCATCACCATCATCATCTTTGTCACCACCATCGTCAACTATCACTACCACCATCATCATCACCATCAACTATCATCACCATCATCATCATCATCGTCTGATTATCATAGTCACGCAGTACCTGTAAAAAGTATTCTTCGAGTAGACAGTCAACCCACGGCTCGGACACTTCCATGGGACGAACTTCATTAGAAATATCACAGCATTTTATAAGAATCATTTTCAACTGAAAATAAATTTGAAATCATTTTAATCGTGCATAGATCTAACAATGACAGGAGAACGATGTATACTCACCGATTTCAAATATTCATCGTTATTAAAGTCAAAAGTATCCAACTTGCTCTTGAAGTTCTCTACGATTTCGCTGTGGCGAGCCATGTCTGTGGCTAGAATCAGCATAATTATTTCCTGCAAAAAAGTATATTTATGTCTTTTCAACTTCAGCTTGCAACGGCGTTGCGACACAGGAAGCAAGAGTGATTACACGGTGTATCAACGGATTCTACTTTTGGTAACGATTGCTGCAACTTGTCTCGCAACGTTTTTCGAATTGCGCTGTAGGTTACGCGCTGCAATGTTGTTGCAAAAAAATAGAGTAAATTGCTCCACCGTGTAATCGTGGATGAGAATTAAATAAAAAACACGTCGGGCCGCCATGTTTTGGTTGACATCACAAAAGACACCAAGACCAAAGTCAACCAAATTGGCGGCTATGACGTCACATGCATTCCAAAAATACATGATTCAATTTGTGTCACAATGAATTTACTATATTGCACGGTGGGTGGGTGTTGTAACGCAACGTCAGAGCTAGTCACGCGACATAAAAATAGTCACGACGTGTCATTACATCAGGTCACTCGGTCACCAGTAGTCACCAGAAATATGTAGAAACTATTTAGGTGTATGTATATATTGGTTGTGTGTGTGTGTGTATTGGGTGTGTGTGTGTATGTATTGGGTGGGTGTGTATGTATTGGGTGGGTGTGTATGTAATTGGGTGTGTGTGTGTATGTATTGGGTGGGTGTGTGTGTATGTATTGGGTGGGTGTGTGTATGTATTGGGTGGGTGTGTGTATGTATTGGGTGTGTGTGTGTATGTATTGGGTGTGTGTGTGTGTGTGTATGTATTGGGGGGTGGCGGGTGGAGGACGCAAGCTAGGCTTCCATGGCAGCACTACCGGTTAGTTCAATAACAGCAGTTCACGACTACAATGACAATTACCTGTCGTATTTTCTTAAATCTTTCATTACTTATATTCGCGAAAATATTGCATTCCGGCTGAGGAAAGACAAAAGGAAGAATCGTTAGAATAGGTAATTTGAGTCAATAACAAAAGACAAAAAAAGGCATTTCTGCCAAAGTTCAAAAGAGGACTGGTTACAAGATAGTTACCAGTCCTCCTTTAAACTTCGAATATTACCCGTCCAAGAATATCAAATGCAATAGCGGCGTGATGGTTTTCTAGTGGAGAAATGTCATTATAACGAATGGGCAACTCTGTCCTGGCGTTGATCTGGTATCTGAAAGGAATCAACATCGATTTGATCTATTTGAAGCATTGTCAGTCAGTTTGGTAATTAATATGACAGACGTCGTATCCAAGATGGCGTCAGTCACGTCACGTGACGTCACATGACGTCATACTCACGTGTTGTTGTATCCAGGGTGATCTAAATCGTGACAGATACAAGCCGTAAGTAAAATCAGGATGTCCTGTTTCGTTAGTTTTTCTGTCAACTGGCACAAATGAATAGTTGTATACATCTAGAATACACAAACACGAATGAGTTACAAATGAATAAACCAAGAGACACTTGCTGAACGAAAATAGCAGGAATTAGTAAATGACCTACCATCTGAGTGACACAGAAGCAATGGCGAAAGTTGTGGAATGGATTGGTTTTGTAATTGTGTTGAATGCAGGTCTGAGGTGAAAGAAGATTAAGAAGCGATTAAATTAAACCCGCGAAGCAATAGCTAAAATGATATATGCTATCGTAGGACACGACTAGGACACGACTAGAACACGACTAGGACACGACTAGGACACGACTAGGACACGACTAGGACACGACTAGGACACGACTAGGACACGACTAGGACACGACTAGGACACGACNACGACTAGGACACGACTAGGACACGACTAGGACACGACTAGGACACGACTAGGACACGACTAGGACACGACTAGGACACGACTAGGACACGACTACTAGCCGAATGAATATATTTGCATATCGGAATTTGAATTTGAATAGAATCCCTCTGACATTTCCCGTACACCACGATACTACCCTCAATCAGAAGACCAAATGACGTAACCATTTGTTGGATGGCGGTATAAGATATGTTCAGTTGGAAGAGTAGAAATGAGTACTAGTTCTACTTTTACTTGAGTTTTACAAAGCTTATATTTTACTAGTTTTAACGCCGTTAGCCTTCAGTAAACGACATCGCCTAATTAAAGGAAGAAACGACCGAGCAGGAAATCTTCTTTATCTTATATAGCCTCGTCTTCATGCGAAGGCGTGGCCACTTTTCAACATGGCCGCCATTTCACCGGGAGCCGGGAGGAAATGGAAACAGCAAATAAAAGAGTCTGAGAGGAGATCTCGCTGCGGAAACATTTCATCCAACGTACCAGGAAACGTCTGAGGACATTATGATTGATGTTGAATTCCTCGACCAGGCCAAGCTCTTTGTACATTTGTTCAAAGAGGCAAATCATCTGTTCAAAAGAACATAGAAAGATTTTAGTTCACCTTCAGAAGGAAGACTAGAAGTTGCCCGTGGAGGGAGGGGACGTGGGCATTAGCTTAAAGTATGCTTACTTCATTTGGTTCCCAGTGCCAAATGTTGAATGTCGGTTCTTTGAGATAACGAATGGTTTCTGGACTCAGAGTATACTGGAAGAAAACAAACAAACATATTCGATATTAACAAATATATTCGATATTAATATTTTTTTACTGATGGAAAATTTACCTTTGAATAGCTGGCTACAGGAATGGACGAGTTGATGTAGTTCATATCAGATTTATTCTGGTTGTCCTGGATTGATTGCCAAGTGATTCTTAGAGAGAAATGCAACATCGTCATATTGTGTCTAGAACATTGTTCTTAATGTCTCACGCAGCAGCCATGTTGGGCAGAAGAGGTGCAGCGATTAGTTTCCCAGGAATTAGGAAAGATTTTTGTTTTTCTGGGAATATATTTGTGGGACGCTACTTAGGACAGGTCAAGCTTGGACGAGAGATTCTTGGACGCGCATCAAGTAGATACTTCATGTACAATATATTAATTTATCCAATTTTGATCAATAATTGCGTGTGTGGAAAGCAGCTCGATTTGGAGGACAAAACAAAAGAATGTCAATCAAGAGAATTGGAAACCTATTGTTATGTTTTCAATTTGAGCTGCATTCCGACATCTGCAAGGGGTCTAAAGATCTTATGGACAAATATCTGAAAGACTGTTTAGGAGTAGCCTTTATACTGTAAGTACCAAATCTTATACTGATTACCGCTGTATAGAAAGCACTGTCTTACCGTTCTTGTCTGATCTGCTCTCTGATGTCCGCCACGTCTTTATTGAGGTGTGACAGCCCAATCAATTTCATTGACTCCGCTAAAAAAACACATACATGTAAGCCAATGGGAATAGCCCCTCTGGATAGGTCCCGTATGTGAAGAGACTGGGTACTAACCTTCTATCTTTCCATCGAGTTGCTGCAACCGCGCTTCAGTTTCCAACTTCAAATGTGAAGCTGTAAACGTACTGAAAGAAACAAAAAGCCATCAAAAAAATAATCTATGATCTATCCTGTGAGAACTTTATAACTATATATATATATATATATCGTGTTAAATATGTGTCTTCCCATCGAGCTTCGTGGCTCTTATCATGGCGGGTTTCCTGTGGTGAGGCTAGCAGGGCGTGACCTAACTTCGCCGCGGCCAATCTTTCAGCACAGGCAACCCCCGCATGGGGAAAAGCACATCCATACCTGGTAAAAGACTCGGCTACTTGGCATAGAACACCTTGTAGTGTCTCTTCCTCACCTTGATAAAATAACGACAAAGAACAACACAATCAATATGCTGACCTGTGGCAGACTGACGCAATTTCAACTGTTTTTAACAAATTTACTCACCGTATTTTTGGTTCTTTGGAGACACGCAAACAATGTACGGTGACCTGGATTAATTAAGAAAATAATATGTTCAAGATATAGCGATTTATAATTAGAAACACGACAGTTAAATAAGCCATGATATGTGTACTGTTAAAGTGCATTTTTACCTTGCAGTATTCAACGGCATATTTGGCTCGATAACCACGATACTACCATCTTGAGTCTTGAGGACAAGGTTAGTCCACCTTGAACAAGAAAAAATAAAATTACTCGTCTTCAACACTTTAATAATCTCCTTCCATGTGGAACTTAGTGACTAGTAGTATAGGGAATGGGGGTTCCAGCGCAATCTCAACACGGGCAAGATCCGT